CATAAAATTTATGGCTGCTACTTCATCGTTTCTCGTAAAATTGTACGGCGACTCATGCCAAAGAATGGTACGAAATGGAAGCTGAAATAAACAACAGCCAAAAGGGGAATGTCAATCAGAACTGGCTCTAATTTTATCTGACTGAAAGTTTTTGGTAGAGCGATTTCATTTTTGAGTTCTTATATGCTCTCACTTTTTACCATATATCATTCAGGGACTCTGTTTCCGTAAATAGCGCTTCATTTCCCTGTTTTATTGTTCCACTCATCTTCCATTGCAGATCCAGCACAATCTTCCTCAAGTGGCAAAGATGCTGCGCTTACTTCAAGATTTCATTCAGTCAAGGACAAGTAGTCTAGTTTGTACAGCCTTTAATTGTTTCGATGATGTCTTCCTTGTCTTGAATGCTTTCTGTAAAACGAAATCAGAGAAGGGAAATTCGTACAAACTAGAAAATACAAAATTCTTTGAAAAATATAGTGTTTTGATTTTTTTTTGCCTGTATGGTAATCTAAAAAAAATTTGCTAATCATTGCAAAGAAATTAACCCATTGACGACGATGTGTACCGCCGGTGGCCCACGCACTTTTTGCTGCCAGGGACGATGTGGACACTGGTGGCCCACACTCCTCGCAAAATCATGTCCTTTCCAGGTCTAGTATCTTCTCCACAATTCAGTAATTTTTCCAGTTTTTTTTTGCACTCTCGAGACCTGTGGACCCGTCGTCCAAGAAGATGATTGTAGTTGATTCAAAATAGCTTTACACTTTGTAAATAATCACAAATCCTTCCCACGCCGAAAGTGTCGTGTAAAATCGCGTCGTCCCACAGCGCCGCCACGCAAAATTAAGCGTCGTCGTCAATGGGTCAATTTAAAGATTAGAAAGAGTTAGTTCACCGTGTTGCACTGTTTTTCTTGCAATTAGAACCATGAGATTACAGCACGGCTACGAGCATATAAATAAGAAAAATATAAACAAAGTGTCCCAAGAAACTGACCCATAAACTTCAGTAAGAAGAATTAATCCCAAATATTGCTATGATCTCAAGATTTGATTGCACCCCACACGAAAGCCTTGTATCTCTTCGAGGTTGAAAGTGGCGAATTTTTCTGTGGATAAAATCGAAAATCTTTTTATAAAATTGGTGTCAAGAAGTCGTTGTTTGATCTGGCTCAAGGTTCTACTTCACATTATGAATTCCCTTGATTATTTCTCTCTCAGTTTGAATTCCCCAAGAATCTCCTTTGTTTCGCTAATTTGTAATTTAGTGGATAGAATACAATAGGTCTTCCTTCTCTATTAATAACCATACGTACTCCTATAGGTTCGATTATCAAATGGATTAACTTCGTGCAGTTTAGTTTTGAAGTTTATATTTCACCTATTTTCTAATCGACCGAATTCAATCCGTCCGGTTGTAGAGTTTATATAGTTCTCACAGCATTCATCAATAAGGGAGTATATAAAGTATAAATTTGGCTTTGCACTTCAAAGGTTTACCTATAATTATCTTACGCCAAATGCGCAAAGAACATTTTCAACAAACTTACCTAAAAGTATGAAATAAGAGCAATTTTGGACATTTTGCAATCACCTATACGCTTGACCTTCGCTTTTATTGCACTCTAGCAATTTACCATTTTGTACTTCTCAATCTACTCTAGTTGTCATCGTAATGAGATAGCGTGTGCCTTTACCGTTGGCAAAAGGTCACAAGGTGTCTGATGCGGTAAAGGAAAAAGCGATTTTGGAATAGCAGATGAAAAATCGTTTTTCGAAATAGAGCAGAAATGTGAAGTTTCGGTGGGTGGGGAGGGGGGGGGGTCTTTAGAAGATTGTCATGACCAAGACCTTCTATAGATAATTATGTAGACATAGAAGTCGTTCATAAAACCCTTTTAACCAAACAATGGTGTTTATAAAACATTATCAAAGGTACTGCAGTGAGACGGCAAACTCGCTTGTTTTTCTGTTTTGTTTTTTTTTTGAAAAAAAGCTCGTTTTTAGTCTTCCAGAAAAGCAACTTTCTCTCTTTTTCAGTTGGGTTATCATTGAACCAGTGAAATGAAGACTGCATTCTTGATGGTGGGCTTTCTGATTTAATGGAGTTCAAAACCGCTTCTGCGTAATTTTACGTAATTTTTCCCATGTTCGAATCTTATATATAAAGCTGAATGTCTGTTTGTCTGTCTGTCTGTCTGTCTGTCTGTATGTCTGTCTGTCTGTATGTGTGTACGTATGTTCCGAATAGAAAATTCCATTTCTGAACCGATCGGGACCAAACTTGGACACATACACTTCGGGCCCCGGCGGGTGTCATAGGCTACTTTTCGTATCGATCGATACCCCCACGGGGGTGATCAGCATGCTCGATTACACCCCCCTGTCAAATTTCAGCCCCCTAGCTCAAATTTTGCAAGAAAATCGATAGAATCGATAAAAGTAATGCACGGTTTCGAAAACTAATATTGTATTCGTAATCAGCATGCTCGATTACCCCCCTGTGCCAAATCCCAGCCCCCTAGCTCAAATTTTGCAAAAAGTCGATAAAATCGACATCAATCGATAACGAAAAGTGGACTGTGACACCCGCCGGGGCCCGAAGTGTATGTGTGCCAAGTTTGGTCCGGATCGGTTGAGAAATGGAATCTTCCATTCGAAACATACGGCGGAGCCGGGTAAGCCAGCTAGTTTCATATATTCTTACTAGCTGGCAAATGCGGTTCCACCCAACCCTGTAAATTATACTTTCGTAATCAGCATGTTCATTTATCCCCTGCGCCAACTACCAGTCTTGTAGGTGAAAAATCAATAAAAAATCAATAAAATTGACATCGATCAATGAGGACAAGTAGTACAAAACCCTACCCGCCCCGAAGTGTATGTGTGCAAAATTTGTCCGGATCGGTTCAAAAATAAAACTTTCTATTCGGAACATATGTACAGACAGATACGCATACAGCCACACGTACAAACAGACACTTCTCCTCAATTCTTCTCTTTAAGCTTCGCTTCTCTTGTCAGAATAAACCGAGACAAGGTAGATAGCGTTCTTTGTAAGGATGAGTAGATGCACCTTCATTCGGTTTGAAAAAGTGCAGCCTCTTCTGTCTAATGGTCTTGAATGTCACTTACTGACTTTAGATACTTACAAGGGAAGGATCCTTAGTCGAAGTGGTCTTTCCACGAGAGACGCGTATCTTCTTGGGGGACATCGAACGCTGATCCAATATGTTTTCCATACTGAGCGAGTCTGGACAAGGAATCATGAGAGCTTTTGTAGCGAAGATGCAAACGAGTTAGACGAAAATCGTTTACAGAAAATTGTGGGCTTATATGGAACACTGTGACTGCTAGAACTCTCTATGAAGAGAAACTTTTCTGCTCAGACCTCGTGCTCGTCACTATTCATCTGCGATTTGGAAAGACTGCCACCACTGATTTTATTCTGATCGGGTGTTCATTTTTCGGCTTAGAACGCCCATAACTCCTCGCCCTGATGCGCTCCGCATAATGAAGGCAGATTTGAATTTATCGTTCAGCGCCGTAGACTGTATGCATCTCAATTAGAAAAGCACTTCGAAGATCCTTCTCTGCTCACGCGGTCCATTTTTGGTGGAAACCAATGTTTCGCTATCGTTAGTGAAGTCGTTGAAATTATTTATTGAGACGAACCCGGTGTTGAAACGGGGGGGGGGGAGCATCTAGTACATTCGGGGCCCCTTAGGTAGTAAGTCGGAGCTGACCCGTGCTTTATCAAGCTGCATAAGGAAATACAATGAAAGAGGATGCCGCGGCTTGGCGCAACCCTTGGAAGATGGGTGCCACTCATTGGTGAGTGATTCGGCGCTTGAATATAAGCGGTTGGGGAATATAGCCTACAGGGAATAACCGTAAGCTATTAGGATTATAGAGTTGTTGGGGTTGAGGATCATAAATCATCAACACTCCGGGCGAGTAACCAAGAGACGAGATCTACGTAAATCAATCAATACAATCAAAACCTCCTAAAAGCATTTGTACTTAGAAATTGAGATATAGCTTATTCATGAGTGTAAGCTGTTCGACTGGTTGTTGAGGTCGATGATTCATAGATCATCAACACCCCGGAGTGTTGATGATTTATGTATCAACCTTGCTAACTCCTAAACTTGTAATTTGTACTCACGCCCACATTTATATTTGGATGGTCTTGGTAGAGTCATTGTTGCATGTTGGCTTGTAAGTATTCTGCCATTTCGCCTGCTCCTTGCTCGTCTGGATTGTTGATGATTTATGTATCATCAACCTCAACAATTTAATCCTAATAGCTTATCCTAATAGCGGTTATTTCCCTTAGGCTATATTCCATAAACCGTTTATTTTTAAGTATCGAACCATTCACCAGTGAGTGGCACCTATCTTCCAGGGATCGCGTCAAGCCGCGGCATCCTCTTTCTTGTGCATATTTCTCGGAAAGTCTGATTGTGCACAGGTCAGCTCCGCCTTTACCTACATAAGGAGCCCGCGACTTTATTAGAGGTTGCTCCCCCGGTTCAACACCGAGTTCGTCTTAATAAACTAATCAACGACCACTATCTACAGCAAGACATTGGTTTTTCCACCAAAGAGGGATTTTTTGCTAGCAAGCTCAGATCCTGCCAACTTACCTTCTTAGTCAGCTTTGACTGTTTTTTTTTTGATATTTTGTCCATTGTTATGCTTTTTTGATTCCCTCCAGCATTTCCGATTTTCATGTTTCGCTAACTTTCAGCTAAACCTTCAAAAGTCTTGTTCCGTATTTTTTCCTTTTTTACTCAACTCAAGACTCTTATTGCTAAAATCACTTGCTGGTCGGAGGGGTTTTTTGCTAGGAAGTCTAAGCTACTACCAACTTACCTTTTTGGTTTTTGCACGTTTTACTTTATTGGAATCTTGACCGGTTAATTTACTGTCACCAATCTCACACATGAGAACTGTCCTCGCATATATGTTATCTCGTTTTTTTAGGTGTGAATCATGCGTGGCATGCTTCGGTTGGTTATAAAAGGAGCAAAACGTGATTACACTTTTCAGACTAATGCCGCTACGTTTGTTTGAGCAGCTTACTCTTGTGAGTGCGTTAGCACCCGTTAATTCTATTTCCAGGGGTACTAGCGATTCAAGCTTGCCTCTGGAGGCAAGATCCTCTGCGGGAGCTTCAGCGCCCGTTAATTCTACTTTCAGGAATGAAGAGGGAATTGTGCAAGGCGCTGTTTATCGTGGGACGAGAGAGCTGAGTCAACGGAAGACGAAGGAGGTACTCATCTACAAGATTCCGAATACAGAAAGCGCTTACACATCTTCATTGCGTGGAGGAATAAAAAGTGGGATGTGTACACCTGCGCTCTCTGTAAAAGAGGGGAATCGCGGAGGACTACCAAAGTATGGTCTTAAACAACGTGTGCACGGAACACCTTTTGTTCTTGTTTATTTCACCTGGGTGTGATTTCCTACAGGTGATCGGCGATGAATTCTTGAGCAATCCGTGCAGTATTGCTCACATTTGTACATCTGTGCCCTATGCCAATAAAGGTAAAACAGGCTGGCATATGAGGTAACTGTTCAATATTGTATTAGGCTGTCCGGAAAATAATGTCGCGTCGTGGTTTATATGCAATATCGCGGCAGGGTGAGCAGGAAAGTAAGTAATTGGGGTACCAATCGATAGATTCAAGCAAGCACTACAAAATGAAGCTCGAACCTTTGCGCCAGGTTTGATCCGCGTAAAGCTTGGAGCTATCATAAGGCACTGAATATCTAAAAAACGAAAAAAATCATATCTCCGTTCAGAAAAGTTTTGGGAACCCCTAACCTGCTCACACATGTACTAACTATACGAGACACTCGTATGCACATTTTCGCGGTTTTTCCATGGGTGAAAATTGAAAAAACGAAATTCGGCATATTTTTGCCAAAACAATCCTGCGCTTCTCTCAAATAGGTGATTCTATAGTATGGACCTTTAGAAGTATAACCATAAATTTTCAGCTTCAAACAAGCGCTAGTTTTCAAGAAAAATCAACTTGTTTGCAAAAAACCCAAAAACGCGACATATTCGCACTTTTCACCTATTTTTATTTGTCGTACTATAGCCATGGAAAAATACCACAAACCATACAGATGAATGTTAGTGTGGAGAGTACATGCCTGTGCAAATTGGAGATCTCTAAGACGTTTATGAACGGAGATACGGTTTTTCGGGTATTTGAAAGTTTTTATATTTCGGATTCGAACTTCAGGTGGAGCAAGATTTCCGCAGAGTTTTGTAAACTAGCTTGTAGAGCTTGCTTTGCTCTATCAAATGATACTCCATTCGCTGTTTTCTGCGGTCACTCTGCTGTAGAATGCCATGCGACATTGATTTCCGAACTAATAAATTACAGTTGGTAATCCAATTACTACCAAAAAATAATGAGTTGAGGTAAACGAATATCATGCTATAAAAATGACTATTCGAAGTTTATCGCAAATATTATAATGTTCACATATTCAGGTTGTCCGTGACATCAAGAGCAACCAGTTATATGCTGTACGACGTCCACGGCAGGTGTATGAGGAAGCTCTATCGAAGACAGATGAGCTGTGTGATGGTGAGAATATCCATATTAGTCATTTGAACACTTGCTTTTTAAAATTTCACCATTTGAGTCTTTGAGAAGATTTATAGTCATCTGCGTACTTCAGAAAACGTGGTGATGGCCTTTTACGGCGAGGAATGTAGCCAGCGTCCACAAACCTCTAGGTAGTAAGTCACTTTAGAGCTTTACTCTGCTGATAAACGTATTCTAGGGCCATCAACACTTTCAAAGATAGGGAAGTGACGCTCCAGAACATCCCGAACGACCTGGTCTTCGTAAATGACCGCACTAGGTTCGTTCATGTAATGGAACCACAGCTGCACATCTATTACTTTGACAAGACCATACAGGTATGGATTTAATTAGCAGTAACAGCGTTCTCTGGATGTTCTATCTATTCTGTTCAATTCTAGCCCCTGTAGAAGGCTTGCGCAAATGGCCTTTTTGATGTGGCTGCTGATGGAGTGACTCGAAGCAACCGAAGAACCTGGCGCAGCTCTACTGCATCCATGGAGTCTGCGCCAGTGGTGTGGAAGTCCTTTTCCCGTACGCCCTAACTGCACGAAAACACGAGACAACGTACAGGAGGATGTTCACGTGTCTCGCGAACAACTTTGAGCTCTTTCGGCCAAGGCCAATGGCCTCAAAGTTGTTCTGGATTTCGAACATGCTGCCATCAATGCAGCTTACAGCGTTTTCCCAGGCGCTGTAGTCCAGGGCTGTTCCTTCACTTATCACAGTCCTGGAACAGGTAGGCTAATCACCAAAAAATCTTTGTAGTGTGTAACAAGCATAACGTTACAGAAAACGGGATAGCTGCAGGATAATCGGTTTCATAAAGGGGCCTGAAAGAGATGGCGTTGTAGAGGAATGGTGGGACACTATCAAAGATGTCACATTTCTACCCAAAGGACTGTGCTCTGAAGTCAGAGCCTTACGGTAAGTGGGGTATAAATACAGAGAAACAAGAATGTATGAGCCTTATCGTACAGTGCCCCACCGTCTCGAGCGAACACCCAGCATATGGCAGCTGCTGGGAATTCCTAAATTATTCAACCAGTGCCTGGTTGTTTGGTCCGTTCGAGGATCTATGGTGCAAATGGAGGATCACAGACCTCCGCACCACGAATCTGGCTGAGGCTTTTCATAAGTAAGTCTTAGTAAAAAAAATTATAAAGGATGATGCTTTGCATTTCAGTAAGCTGAACGCCGCCTTCACAGGTGATCAGCCCGACATGCGCACGCTACTGGAAAAGCTGCGCACACTTGACGCGACAGCTATGTGTAATTTGCGATGGAATGAAAGTGTAAGAAAAAAATTACTACTCTGCGAATTTGTGATAAAGAGAAGTACCTGCAGAACCCTCGCGTCGACAAGAGTATTCGGAGAAGGGATCTGGAAAGAAGACAAAGTGTAGATGAAAGCATGACAAGGTAAGCAGTCCCAAAAATAGGTTTCATCGATACCGACATTCAGATTTGACGCCGTTTACCGGGCCGGACCGACGGTGGCTCAAATTGAGAAGTTTTACCGAGATATGTCTTGGTTTATTTCAGGAAAAACCGTTTGATTGATTGTAGTTGTTTGTACATTCTGTTGATTTGTTTGATTTTACTATGTAGCATTTCATGTGTCTTGTTATAGGGGATGAGGTGTGGATGTATGAGGGATGTGAGGAGAAAGGACGGGGTCAGGTGTGGATGGAGGGTGGAAGGACTGGGTGAGGTGTGGATGAACGGGGATGTGAGGGAGAAAGGGAGGATGGACGGGGGGGGGGGGGGATGGGGGGTGGAAGGACGGGGTGAGGTGTGATGGACGGGGATGCGAGGGAGGAAGGATTGGGTGAGGTGTGGATGGAGGGATGTGGAAATAAGGAGTGGGGATCGCCCGGATGCACGGGAGATGTGAGGGTGGAAGACGTCGAAGGATGGGAAGCGAACAGAGTACAAGGAGAGAAAAGGCGGGTGGGCGAAAGGTGAAGAAATTTTTTTCCTGGACTTCGTTCCCTGCAAAGCGATGACATTGCATCAATGTAAGCATTTTCGAGAAAAGCGTGTAGATCGGCCTGGGTGAAAGGATGAGGCAGTCTCCATAGCGTGCCGCCCCAGACGTTTCAATCCTGTCTAATTTGAATGGCGCCCGGGCAACTCGACATCGATTTTGTTACCTCACGGCAACGTAGGCTTGGTCCGATGTGAGTTTCAATATTCCTTGTAAGAGAATGTGATTGATTTTCTCCCGATTAGAGCAGACTCATCTGGCCACACTCTTGCTCCCACGGACGATCTTTGACCCTAAGATGTGGAGTGGGTACCGCCAGTGATTTTCACCAAAAAGACGGCGCGGTTTTGGCGTGGTCCAGCTTAGCTAGGCATTATGGTTGAAACGAGCGAAAAATTTCGTCGAACGAACGATTATCGAATAATCGGCTTTTGAAAGCTATTCGAACGAACGAATATTATTCGATCTGTGATTTTCAGATTATTCGACTTCGAATATTCGAATAATAATACATTTCAAAATTCGAATGAACAAATATTCGAATAAATGGGGTTGGTCGAATATTCAACTATTTGAGTATTCCAATAATCACATATGGTCGAATATTCGAATAATCATACCTGTCCGAATATGCGACTATTCATGATTTCTATAATCTAGTGGCTCAAACATTGCTGGTTTTTTCTTTATTGTAGTTTTCTGCAAAAAAAATTAATCGCTATATTTGGCCTAGATTTGTAGCTGATAATTATATGCGTAGCAAGTAGAGATATGCCTTTTTTGTTGTTGTTTGGTCAGGGTTTTCCCTAAACAACAGAAAAATTTTACTGAAACATGTAATCCATGGTGTTCATTGTCCTTTAAGAATGGCTACCAAGTCTTAGGCACGCGCCATACTTGATCCGCTAGATCCGCTTGATCCGCTTCATCCACTTCGCTATTGGTCAAATCAGCAAACTGACCAATAGCGAAGTGGATGTAGTGGATCAAGCGGATCAATCGGATCAAGTATGGCGGGTGCCTTACAAGGAAATGGTCAGAAATCGAAGTGGCCAACTCAAGCAAGCTGCATACCGTTAGATGCAGCATAAACGCTGACTTTAAATCTGTCTTCCTTATCTGCAGTACACTTTTGTGGATGAAATTATAAGCCGTTAAAGACCATTGTTTGCTAAGGAACCGTGCATGTAAATGACCAACTTGGCCGTGAGGCATTCTCGGCTCAGTGCTGGCCAAAGCATGCAACTAGGTCACTCCGTATGGCCCGTACCTGGAAATGAGATTAAAGAGCAATAATGTGCCTAATTGCGCAATTTTTGTGCAAGAGTTTTTTGCAATAAAGCTGTTCATAACTTCACCTACAAAGGCGTTCTGCAAATATGAAAGATAGATTTGAAATCAGCGTTCTATGCTACATCAACGCAGCTTGTTTGGATTGGCCGCTTCGACTTCTGACCATCCCCTTGTTAGTAATCGTTTCAAGTCACTATTTATTCTTCCTCACAGAAGTTTCTCCCGAAGTACCGATTCAACATGAAAACTTTTAGGAATAGGTAGTTGTTTGTAATTTAATCGTGATGTCAGCATAGGTGCGATGGGGTGAGCAAAAGCTCATCCTTCACTTTGGAGGTCGGACCACCCCCCCCCCCTTCACCTGGAACGGACAGAAATTTTTTTTCAAGGTGAGGAATTACTGCGCACGAAATTTAAAAAAATATTCAATGAAAAGATGCCTTTTTTGAAAGATCGAACGCGGAATCTCAAAAATGGTTTCGACCTACAATAACATGGGCAGCGGACAATGGCAGATATTTGGAGGCTTGAAAGGCGCTGATGGACAGTTTTACCTGGAAAATATTGATGTGAATGATGTTAATAAGAGACCTTGCATTGATCATAAATTTTTTTTTGCGAATAAATTGTTATGTTGGTATCTTGTAGTACAATAAAAGAATTTGCTGTTCAGTTGTGTTCGCTTAAAGCATAATGAACATACAGAGTCCAGAAAAATGATAAAAATAATATAAATGACGTCAGGAGAAATTTCTAGGGCAGTATAGTTGAAGTCACAATGTTGCCCATATTCAAAAGCAGTGGCTCGGCAAATCTTAACCTACTCAGTTTTTTGCTTACCTGAAGTTATTCAATACGCTGATCTCGAAAATCCACTTTGGAGAGCTTGAAAACGGCGAAAACGTGCGTTTTTCGATGCCCTTCCCTTTGAAGTTGGACGAGTGGAGCAAGGCTGATGACGCTGAATCGTTGCAGGATTCGATGGTTATAGCATTGCGGTGGGCAGCCTTCAGTGGTGGGAAGGAAATTGCCAGCTCGTCCGGGCGCGTGTAAGATGAGCTTGCGCGCGTAAGTTTGAGAGCAGTTTTCTCGGCAGGGAAGGCATGCTGTGCAACCGAGATTGCAGTGTTTTCATACTTGGGCAATAGGGAACCTACTATGTTAAAATCCTGCGTTGTTAAGTTTTGCCGATCCACTGCCTTTAAGGAAAGTCAGTTTTTGAGTTGGTATAACTTGAGTAAGTTGCAGAATGTCATCTTGCGAGAGTATAGGCGTTAGTAAGGAACCGTTCTTCTATCACACACAAAAAGAAGTAAATCCTAAAAAGAATTTTTCTCAGAGTTATGAAGCTGCCAAGCTAGTATTGGGTTGTTTCAAAAGTTCTACCCGTTTTCGAACTTTGAATTTGATTCACCGTAACTTTCCTCAGAAATGATTTTTGCAATTGCTATAAACTGCGTTACAATCTGCAAATCTTTGGCTATTCTTCGCACTCTTTAAGAGTATTGCAGTAACAGTGGAGAAGACTTTATAGGCGAAAATTTAGGAACACCTCCTTGTAGAAATGTTCACTTTGCAAAAGCATAACTTGATTTGGAATATAGCTAAGTTGCACAAGACTGCTCACAGTGTAGCCCATAGTCAACTGAGCAGTACCGCTAACTTTGGTTCATCGAAGTCTTTCATAAAAATTTTGTGCTGAAAAATCCGAAAGGACCCACTTATTTTCCTCTTTCTGAGGCGGCAAAGAATGCAATTTTTGACATTTTTGATTTTGTTCGCCGTTGACAAACCAGGAAATCTTTTCATTCTTCTAGTAGCAGTTGTTCTAGCTCTAGTCTTACTATATAGAGTAGAAGTTCCGCGATTGCAATATATTTATGATTTTTATGCGACTTGAAGAGACCATAAAGACAGGTTATGTTTGAGCTAAAAGTTTGTAGGTTCGAAATTTTTCTGAAATCATATCTCGGTAAGCGTTTCGAAGCACGAGTCTCCAGCAAACATTATGCATGTAAAGAAATTTTTTTCTTTCGGCTGCAGATTTCACGGCGATAGAGCAAAGGCGAAAGTTTTCACATTTGTTTCGCTGTCTTTTCAAAGTACGCAACCACACAGCGAACAAAGACCTATGAAAAGAAAATGTGCCTGAAAAACTAGAAGAAAAGAGCTTCTGAATGGAGCACTGTTTATAAAAAATGGTTTCTTCCTTCAAAATCGGCAGTTCAAAAAAAGGTATCGAAAACGGGTGGAACTTTTGAAACAACCCAATACTTGTGGAAAATTATCAATCGCTGTCACAGTCTCTGTTGTAGAATTGAACTTTCACAAAGTTGTTTAAGTATTTTTGTGGTTCATATCTTTGTTGTAAGGGAACTTCCACATTTTTTACTCGGGTTCAAAATAATTATTGTTCAACCCACACCCTACTCGAAGTATTATCCCTCTATGAACTTTGCAACATTCTAACACTAGGTTTTTTTGCGCCTCTTGACTCTAAGGGCAGCCGATTTGAGTATGGTGACTGACATAAGGCTGCCGCCAAAGTCAAGCGGCTTAGGTCCTCACGACCGCCTCGCTCCGGCCTTGCGCTAGTGAATTTATCATTCGGGTATTTTGACATGCGGGCGGTGATTAGGAGGCAAGTGAAGATCTCGGGATAAAGGGAAGAATGTTGCCTATACGTGCTGCCTTAGAGGACTGCGATTAGCTTGGAGGTATTTGCGCCTGATATCGCATCTCAACTTCTCAGACGTGATTTCCAGAAGATAGTTCAGCACTCCAAATGAATTATGCATAAGATGTCACAGTATCCTCTCTGGCATGACTCCTCTTGCCTTAAAAAAGGACTTGCTAGCCATTATGTCATATCATAATTCATTTTTTGATTGACCGATCGGGGATATATAGGCGATTCATAGCACGCAAAGACTGCAGACGCAGACGCATCGGCGTCTCTCTGATCGAGCGCTCTTTCTTTTTTCTTACCATCTGCTGTCTCTCCCATGCACGAACTATCTCGGCCGGAGGCAACAACGCTCAGCCTTTGCGTCTTATGAATCGTGCTTGAACTCAATGTAGAACAGCAAGTTTTCTCTTGTCATCAAATGTTCGAATGAATGATCTTCAATTTTCGAATATTCGAATACCCATCTTTTGAAACTCCTCGAATAAACGAATATTCGAATAACTCATTTTTCCAAAAAGTCGAATGAACGAATTATTCGAATACAGGCCTTTTTCATTTATTCGACTATTCGAATAATCGAATAATTGGACTTTCTCGAATATTCGACTATTCGAATAGAATAATCGAATATTTCAAATAAATTATTCGAACACGAATATTCGGTTCTAACTATACTAGGCATCCGGCCAAAGTCGGAAACTCGAACTCTATCATAGTTTGGGAAACCCCGTAGAGTATACAGTCGAGTAGAATTTCCGCTTAATATGGTGTGCCTGCACTGTAGGTGAAATGCGGTAAAATTTATGCTTGAAGAAATAGCTACACCTATGACGCCTTCCATTTGCGCGCGCAGAATACCGGCATTATTGGCGTGGCTAGGTTTTTACGCGAAAATTTTACCGCATTTCACCTACAGTGCAAGCACACTATATTAAGCGGAATATCTACTCGACTGTCAGTCGACATACGATGTCACTCACACGCCCATGCCATGGGAAATTGTGGGCGATCAATCTCTGAAGAGATTCTACAACGAATGTTCTTCTTGAGATGAGAGTATGTTCTGATTACATTTCGACTATATTTTTGATCACATTTTCCTTTTAATCTGATCATGTCATCGATACCATTACATACAATAGTAAACACTCCAAGCAATACTCTCTTCATCCTAATCAACGTTGTATGCCTAGCGCTTATGAAGGATATTCGTCGACGACTGCTCCGACTCGTGCAATTACACCACCTTGGGCATGCCTTATTGGAGTCTTTCCAGCTTGACAGTGCGCTGCAGCGCGCGGGATTTGGTAGCTCGCAGCATCCCTGTCCCGTCCTGTCCCACTGTCAAGCTAGAAAGGCTCCAAAAAAGCACGCCCACGGTGGTGTAATTGCACTAGTTGGGGTAGTCGTCGACGAACAACCTTTAATATCACCTAGATGGTTTTGAAATATCGTTGTTTTGCACACACACAGCACATACGAGACGCCTATACTTTATTCATTCGGTAAATCTAATACTAGTTTTTAAGAACCAAACACCTACAACCGGTATGATTTCGATTATTCCACTATAAATGCAATGTAGACTGAATACTACGCGAGAAGGATAACAACGATGCAACGAATTAGAGCACAACACAGTCGGATATCGGGTCGCACCCAGAAACAACGGATCTATAGATCATTACAGAAACAAGCTATTTAACTTAAGTTAGACTTGCTGCATCGCAGGTAATCTAGAACTTGGCAGGCTCGGGTGCAGGTTTCGTCTTGAACCCGGTGAGAAGAGATTTGATCTCCCCAATGGCTTTAGCAGGATTGAGATGCTGTAAAGACAATGTCGTCTTTTGCGGTCCTACAGATAGAAAGCTTACCTTGGGGCAAGTTTTTGTGCAGTTCATGATGGTGTGGCATTTGAAAGCGGAATAATGGTCATGCATGCGGTGTAGACGTTCCATAGGGTAGTCATCTCGAGAATCAATGATCCACCTGGAAAAGAAGCCGCTCAACAGTAAAGAAGATAAGAATTGGTAAGTCTCGCTGCCCATATTATGCTCAACTCCGACATAAATGACTAGAAAAACCTGTAGGCCTGCATCAAAACGCTTGGTCCTAGATATTTGTCCGCATTCCACCAATATGATGGGCAAGAAGTCGAGCAACATGCGCACAGAATGCACTCGTACAATCCATCCTAAGATAAAAAGCGCATATTGAGGAGCGCTCGAAAAAAGAAGGAAACAAACAAAATAAATTCCATCAGCTTACCAACTTCTCACGTTCCTTAATGCTTTGGTACATCTGTTTTTCACCAAGTGTCAGATCCTTCTTCTTTTGTAGCCAAGGTTGAATCGATGCATACTGCTCGTAGAACAGGTTCATATCAGGGACAAGATCCTGAAATACGTTACATTCCTCACTCTGTTGAATTTCATTCTGCCAAAACATACCTTGATAACGTACATATGAGGTAATGGATAGATCTTGGTAGTCTTGCTCGTATTTGTGTCAATTCTGCAAATACAAGCAAGAGTGTTTTCGCCACCGATGTTCATAGCACATGAGCCGCAGATGCCTAAAGTTGATAAATATGCAAAATTCAACATCTCAAACTGTAAATGCGAAAAGAACTGGCTATACCTTCACGGCAACTCCTTCTGAAGGTAAGCGTAGGATCCTGCTCGTTCTTAATTTTAATGAGAGCGTCCAAAACCATAAAGCCACAATCGTTCAAATCCACATCATACCTCTAAAATAGCTACTATTTTGAACGCTGGACTTGTGCGCAAGACCCGTGATGCCACCTCGAAGCTCAAACCGGCGACTTTATTAGAACATGTTCTTTTTTCAGCTATACATAGCTGTGAAAACTATGCTCTTTCTAGTATGCGATTATTAAATGCACAAAAAACGAATTTTCAAACGCACCCCACTCACCCTCGAATATAGACGTCGTCTTGTGACGGCGCCATACGGTATTACATGTCAAATGTACCCGACTCAGACTTACGTAGACGTCGTCTTGTGACGGCGCCATAGGATGCTACATCAGTAGGACTTAAATGACAGTATTATGCTCGATTTGAGAAATAACCCGATAATTGAATATCGCCTTGATATGGTTGTATGCTTGTGCATACTCCAGATCCGACAAGGGCAGGATACTAAGTCAATCCAGCCGTTTGTGGTAATATATGTATGGCTAATCTCGGTTTAGATCGCTAGCCTCAAATATGCATTTATTCTGTTCTGAACAGCCTTTCATTGAACGTTATGACCACATTTCCATTTTTTTCACAAAAGAGGCCACAGGATTCGAACTAGCGAGCGTTTGGCTATGAAGCACCGCAGTTTTCATATTACGAACCATGCCTCAACATCAGTTTTCACTGCTTTATACTAGCACACATCCTAAAAAGCGGCTTTCTGTTAAAGATCGTATTTCAAAAAACGGTTCAGCAGATAATGAGCAGATTTGAGCTCAGACTTCAACCGAAATAAACAAATAGCTCTTACCACAAACAGCTGCATCGATTTAGAACACCTTAGTACCCTTGTAAGTGCAGAATAAATTAGTAATGTTTGTAATTACAAAAGCTTGCCTGCATCCTCGGTTTGGATCCAGGTTTATCAGGATTCCATCGATAGATCTCAAATGTCTTCACTTTCGCTCCTTTCGGCTTCGCTGCGGATTCGGCTGGTTTTGAAGGTGTGGCAGCAGCCGCGGCCGCAGTACGGCTGGCAATAATCAGCGCATCCGAACGAGCAAGGAGAACAGAACGAGCCAGCATACTGCAAATGATAAGGCTCTAGTCACAAATGTTTAGCCTGGATATACAAATGATAACAGACATGAACAAACAGACTTCACAAGTTCAATTTCCAACCTGAGATCAAAACTTACTTTTGAAAACTTAATCACAATATTTTGTGGAAGATCTAGCAAAGAAATGCACGGAAGGGAGGGAAGACTTCAAAAAAATGAGGAGCGCGGCATTATATAGCACATATGCCAATCGATCCCTCAGTGCTGACGCACTTTGAAGAAAGCGCGCGCCAGTACTCTGAATCGATGTTGTCAATGTTGTAATACTAACTCTCCTCCAATCAGCTGCCAAGGGGTCGTATATCGATTTTTTCACTGAAAAGTGCCTCCACAATAAGTCCAGGGGTAAAAAGCTGTTCTTGCTCCTGCCATGACCATTGATGGTTGTGAATAGTAAAGGAAACGCTTGTGCATGAAAGTGAACCCATACCGAACGACTTAGTTTCTAGCAAAAAATGAATGTTTCTCAGCGTGTACCAGTTCGTTGTAATTTTTGAATGCTAGATTGTACAAAATTAGTGGAATACGTCATAATTTTTGACACTGCAAGTTTTTCTTTGAGGTCAAATCTTGTTTGATTACTACAGCGACGGCTGTCATTAACGCGACTTGCACGTATGCCGTGAGAAAAAAAACGAGTTCGATGGCTCACTCAGATCAAACAGCCAGTATCAATTCTAAGACATTGTCAATGCTACAACTTTCCGAGATACACTTGTTCGCTATTGGTCGAATCAGTGAACAGGCCAATAGCGAAGTGGATGCCCGCTTGGTTCACTCAATCCACTTCGCTACTGGTAAGTTTACTACTCGACCAACAGCTAAGTGGCGAAGTGGAACAAGTGGACGACTATGGCATGTGCCTAACATAAATGGTTACAAAAATAGATCAAAAGCTCTCTTATCTTTGAAACTGGGCATTTTGATATGTGTCAGTAAATGCTTGTTGTGCCGAAACCAGGTTTCCTGGTGGATGTTTATTCGACCGACGTTTCGACGTGCTCGTCTTTTTCAAGAGGTCTTAACTCCACCGCATACCAGTAAGCGAGCACGTCGAAACATCGGTCGAATAAACATCCACCAAGAAACCTGGTTTCGGCACAACAAGCATTTACTGGTTACAAAAATTTTTTCGGTGAGTGGCTATTAATGTAGATTGTGAGGCGACTGAAACTGAGATTAAGCACATAAAAAAGTTCATAGAATCCGAGTTCATAACGAGTTACGCGGCTTAAAAAGAGATGGAGAAGCGAAGGACTGAGGAAACGAGGGCAAACGGACGCACACGACGGGCTCGATGGCAGCGCAAGTTCGGTGCGGCACGTATCAAAGGACACATGTTCCCAATGAGAATGGCGCACAATTTAACGATAGAGCAAGAAATGTTCATTACTTTACTGCTTCGTCATTTCCTCAAACTTTAGTGCAAGGCTTTCTTTTTGAGAAAGCTCTTCCGTAATGTCGCTCGTAACACCCTTTTTACCGTCTTTTAAAAACTAGCCGCACTTGGAAATTTGCTCTCCGAACAAAGAAAATATCTACTAAGTTTTTTTGCAGATTTCAAAAATGCTGCGAGGCAAAATTTAAAGCGGGATTTTTTAAATAAAATTTTGGTTTCAAATTCAGCTCTTTGCTATGTTGCATATGCAGTTTTGTTCGACGTCATCTCGTTTTTTCCCCACAAACTTCGAAAGAAATCGACTTTTCAGCTTTTCCGCTATGACTAATAATTCATAGCTACCATGGTGTATCGGGCAAGCTTTGTCATATTTTTGACAATCATTTCTGCTCATCTTGATCCCAGCTTATACAGAGCGCCTTTTAGCGCAGATCCTTGGGATGTAGACGGACCATGCCAGGAGCACGTAGAGGTTTGATCTCGAGTCTCCTTATTCAGATGTTCATATTTTGACTCTTTTCTCAAGAGATTTTCAAAAGTGCAAGCGAATATGGTGCAATGTGCTACAAACTGGTCTATTCCTCCAAAAGTTTGCACAAACTGCTTTGAGCAGTACATAGCTTTCAAGCAGGTCGAGTACGAAACAAAACACCTAGTGAGTTTAGTGTCCTGAACGTTTTCCCTTATTTAACTTGCCATATTTTAGGACAAAATATTTTCTTTGGACAACCGAACTTGCACTCAAGTGATCTATGATAATTATCTGCTATCCTATAGCCATGACATATCAGAAGCGCTGACTTCAAATATCTGGGCAAAATCTAGATGTGACTGTAAGTTTCCTTGATGTTGGATATTGTTGTATATTCATATTGAGTGTAGTAAATATTTGGTGCATGGAGACGTTATTGCGGTCTTCTGTGTCCTCACGTTTGAGGTCATTTGGGTCAGATTACTTTAGAGGTCGCGAAATTTCTGAAGGTTATTCATACGAGTTATAAAAGTTTGCAGACGACAAGTCTATACTTGTAAATAATCAGTGTAATTTTTAAAAAATTTTGAAAGTTAGCCCTATAAAAAATTTTTTCGGGGCGTTAATTTTGAGGTTATGGGCTCGCAAAATTTCAGGAAGCATAGGCATCCGCCATATTTGATCCGCTTGATCCGCTTAATCCACTTGATCCGCTTGGTCCTCTTTGTGAAAAACGCGCGCTTACCGATCATTTGGCGTCACGTACAGCGATTTTGCGCAACCATATAAAATTTTTTCTGCCTACGCGGCGCCAAATAACAATCTAGTAAGCGCGCGTTTTTCACTTAGAGGATCAAGCGGATCAAGTGAATTAAGCGGATCAAGCGCATCAAGTATGGACGTAGTAGTGCCACACCAAAAAAATTTTCCGGAGTGCGTGGCTGACGCCACGCTCCTTCATCAGAAAATTTTTTTGTCACCCTTCCCCCTCCCCCGAACGGAAATGAGTGTCAAATATGTAAAATTATTGCCGAAAAACAGAACTCTAAATCTCCCCTGCCTACCATCTCTGAGCGACCAATCAGCATCCTTGATTATGGTACCGGCCAGGAATTTGAATTGTTTTTGGGGAGAAAAAAGTCAGTTAAAGCCTTCCGGTCAGTAAAAATAAAAATGTGGAGTACCCTCTGACAGTGACTGCCCATTTAGGGAATGTGCTTTGACAAAGGGTTTGCTTCGCAATAAATCACCCGTAGTACGCTAATGACTGATATTCAGCTTGTCTTACCATCACCTGGAATCTTACTGCTAACGACTCCCGAGTCGAATTTGTCAATCAGACTGTGCAATTCCAGGTCAGTTTCTTTCAGATCTTTCGTTAAACAAAGAAATTTGCTATTTCAAGGAAAAACTCTACACATGGCGAGACTGCGTTGCGAACGTAACTGATGGAGACCTTGATTTACAAGATAACAGCACTATTTGTCGTTACTGCAAACATCAGTTCAATGATCTCTTTGCCTATTACTGGAATATCTACGTAGAACCTGGTATAGACTTCTGCGTCGACGTCGAAACTACCGTAAGTATCTGCGTTGTTTGTAATTTTATTGCTGTAGCTTACTTTATCCAATCATATTACTATCTTTTTTCAACTCCTTGTCAAAAAATATTAGAATTTTTTCTAATATTTCCCTCCTAATCACGTGTACTTTTTCTTTTATTGATCACACATCCACTTAATTATAAATTACAATCGTTTAGATGAATGATACCGTACATATCTGGAATGATGTATGGGAATGTGCAGAAAGAAAAGATAGGAAGAGAGATACTGGAGCAGTGCTGATTACCATGGCCGCACTTCTGTCGATAACTGTGATCTTTTATGCTAGTAGTTATATACAGGGAGGAGGACAAGCAAGAGTATTTGTTAGATGTGAGTTTTTTTTATTTGTAAGATCCAATTTTCTCTGTCAGTCACAATATCTTCTTTGTTTACATCGGTGATTAGTCATACTTAAACTTTCAGATTCTCGGAGGGAGCCGGCTGAGCAACGCAGTTCTCTCTTGACACCTTCAGCTTCTTTGAACAATATGGGTGTATATTCGGTCCGAAATCATTTTTAGGCCGAGGTTACCTTCCTATTTATCGCTCTGCATTGTGGCTTCATATTTCACTTCATTCTTCGTTTGCTTGTTACTCTTATAGTTCTGAAGGGTTTGTATATATGCTTTATGTCCACTCATGCCACAGCATCTCCGTGGCACACTGACAAGGTTATTGCTGATGTTGCTCCATGTTTATTCAATTTGATATGCTATGTGCGACTCTCAATGATGAATATAATAAGTCATAAAATTGTGAGCGTCCATACATCTAATGTTATTGGGATCCAGTATGGAGGAAGTTTGGATTTTTTTGAAGAATTGTGCTACCAAAATTTAGCTGGAAAGGATGTTTAAGCTGCTGCAAGACGAGGGCGGTCGGTTTTATGTGCAACGCGGCTGCGACACGGCTGCGCAGCCGCGTCACAGCCACGTCGCACATCGAACCGACCGCCTGCTTCCTGCAGGAGCCTATACCTGTGTTTATATCTCTAAATTCTACATCTATGTTGTCTGTTGAAAAAATCTTGCGACAAGTGTCTCTGAGACGTACAACTTTCAGACAGCGAAATATGATAGGTTGGGAGATGTAACGGTGAATATATTGTATCTGTGCTGCAGAGATTTGCAGCAAACTTTGCGCATGAGCAAATTGCACGCTTGCTAAAATTGGCCTGCAATTTGCGCATGCAGAATGGCCATAGAGCACGCATTCTCAGCTCACTCTTGCAATTTGTTCACGCGCAAATGTTGCCGGCAGATTTCGGCACCGGGATATCGTTTCTATCCTCACATCTTCCGTCATAGGCTTGCCGTGCCACTTGAGAAAAGGCGAATAAAATTAGTCTACAAATAAGTAGACAATAGTACAAAATGGAAGATTATAGTATCATAGCGGGTTGTGAAGGCGGTATGTGCCGCAGTTGCGGATATGGGCTGGAGTGTTGTGTTCAAAATCACGGTATACATATTCTAGGTACAGTAGCTGGAAAAATTAGAAATGAAACATGAAAAGAGCCACTATGGTATCTCGATCGATCGATTGTTATTGCGATCGTTCCCAACGCTAGCTTTTGCCAGACTACTCAAGTCGTTCTTCCACCAAAAAATGTTGTCGAAAAGTAAAGAATAAGAAAGTTTCGTCTGCGAAAAGTTTATCCACTGCTAAACAAACTCAGAGTCTACAATTCTTATATCTGCGCGGCCCATGGTATCATCTTACCAAGATCACTCGGTCAACATCGTAACATGGCTCCGTATGTTGCGCCATAAGTTTTCTTCTACGATGACGAATTCACTTCTCTTTACTGCGTAGCTCCTTTTTTGATTTCTTATAGTTCAATTAGTGTTTTGCTTCTTGATGTTTTTCTGACGTGCTTGATATATTACGAGAATGATGGCATTCACGAGAAGACCGAGATCGATCGATAGCTTGGCGGAGGCAAATAGTTTATCTTTGAAGAAATGTCGTATCATGCTTATTCAAAAGGAATGACGGCCAAATATGTATTCACAGAGGCTTTTACAAATGTTTTAGCATCTATGATTTTAGGATCATTGGGGCTGCGACTAATAGTTTCAGAAGAAAAATAGTTCAAAAAATTTCTTAGAAAAAATCCTTATTTACGTACCATGTGAGTTGAAGCTATTGACTGTTTCAGAATCTCTTTTCACATCTTAAGGGGAATAACCTTTGATTCAATCGGCTTGGCGACTGGAAGGCGGGGCTTTGTGATCTGATTAAGGCCGCTCGCGCCCGCTACGCAGTCTCCGTCTCTCCCGCGCGTGTGCTCTCTGACCAATACCTAGCCTTAATTAGTCCACGAAGCCCCCCCCCCCCTCCCCTCTCTTCAAGCCGCCAAGTCAGTTAAATCAAAGGGCAGAAATATCCATATAGCTTCATTCCATTTTTCAACCATACATCTCTTGGTAGCAAAACTATAATTCTGCGACGAAGGAAACGGTCAAATCTTTATTAAAAACTATTCTCTTTCGGTTATGCCTATCAGCAGTGTTCACTGCGCACACTTGAAAAAGTTAGATATGTCTGGTATGTATACATAGTTCATTCCACATGGAATAGGTCGGCAGCGTTTGCGCGACGCGGTGGCGGCGCGTGCTGCAGAGTCACGGCAAGTGTCTCTGCCCAATCGCCTCAACGCAATAAGCAAATGCATGGTGCTTTTTTGCGAAGTGTGTGCTTCTCTTTGTTTCCCAGCCCTTTCGTGGAATTTTCGAATGTTAATGTCTCGAATTTGGAATTTCCTAAGATATTTTTGGCCATCTTTTTCAAATTCTTATATCTGTTTCTTCGAGAACATAAAAGTAACGAGCGTGGAACCACGGCGAATACCCCCTCTGCTTATTTGTTCTGAGTAGTTCTTGAACCGCCAAAAGCACTTTATGCGCATTCATATTTCATCAGATAGGAAAATTTAGTTCTCTCTGCCAAAAAACTTCGTTATGTCCATAACAAATGCTTATTGAGTTATACCACGCTTAGCAGCTGTAAGTGCTTTCTTTGTCAGGAGTCCGGACTTTCGAGCTCTCAGCATAACGGCGCCAGGAATTACCATATCCGGCACGTGCACTAAGAGAATAATTGAAGAGGAATGAAGCGCATTCAATACCCTAATGAGTCCCTTGAGAACCCGGCCAAGCAGGCGCATTTTTGTTCTCCCCGCACATTCTTTGCATCCCTGACTAGTACAAGTGCTTTGCTCGAAAGGGCTTTGTGGACAGTTTTGCCTTATTTGTGAACTTTGGAAGCTTGTAATTATTCCTTTTGTGTTATAGCCAGTAGTCGAATATAGTGATTTTTTCTTATCCTAGAGAATCTGAAAAATTTAGATGATGATAGATTGTTTTCAAAATTACTTAATAACAAATGCAATATAAAATTTTTATAGTGATACCCGCCAAAAATTTGATTATAGGCTTTTCATTTTCTAATTGACTTTGCCCTTTTCCCATGAATCCACTGGGATATTTGCCTCGATTTTGAATTTCCCATTTCGTGGACCTATTTGCCACGCTCAACAAATCACATCGTTCTCCTTCTCATATCCATCTTATTGTTTGATGGACGTAAGAATCGAATGCAGAGACAGCGAGGTTTGAGAGCAATGTTCTTCGAGTATAGGATTTTACTGTTTTTTTTCTATAGTATTTTCTTTTCGAATTGCAAAACGCAGCAAGAATTTGGAAAAATCTTTTTTATTTGGGTAATCAAGCACCTGCAAACGTCTCCTCGTCGTTTCTAATGTTTCATCTTATGGTATCGCATTTGATTAGTTCTGCTCTTTTTTACCTAAGCTTCCATGCACTTTCATCTCCTTGCGAGACGCTTAGAATCAAATGGCTTTCCATTTTTCATCTCTCGTACTCGGCTAAGGTGGAATGCTTTAGCGCGTTCAGCTGAATATTGCTTAATCCTTTACCCTTTCCTCAGTCCATCCTACAATGAAGTGAATATGTCAGTATTACACGACTAATCGTAAATATTTTCTCATCTTTGGCGGCTTCATAGGGCGCTTCTCCCAAAAATTTACTTGAAATTGTAGCATGATGTCTACCTCAAGTAGGACTTGTCGGTTGTAGTCTAGCTTTGTCTGAAACAGATTACAAACTCCTTCATATTTTGGAGAATTCTGAGCTTTTCTTCTCGTTTGTTGTGCCTTTTACTCTGTTTAATAAAATTTACTGCAAGTTTACAGTCAGAAGAGCTACTACCATAATAATAGCTACGTTTTTTTCAGTCTTATGTAGGTGCTTGTTCTTGTATCTTCTAAAGTTTAGAGTGATACCACTCATCCATCAATGTCGAATCAGAAAAATCGAAGATATGTAGTGGCTGACAACCATGAATATGTAGCAAATTCAAGCATCAATATGCTGTTCATATACAAAAATACCGCCCATTTTCTCATTTCAACTCAAATTTACCATCACTCTTCTCAAGCATTACCTTTGTGAGCAAGTGCTTAAGAACTCCTGCCCTTAGCGGTATCTCACTGTCATTGCAGCAACGACGAGAAGTATTTTCTTGCTAAAAAATTGCCAAGTCCTCCTGGATAATTTGAGAAACCATAACTCAATGTGAAACGCACTAAGATTGCAAAAATTTTGCCCGATGTGTAGCGATTGAGTAGCAGTACCAATCTTATATCTTAATGAATTTTTTCACAGAATCTGCAAAAAAATCGAAAAGCATTTATGTCGAAAAAGTCCATTTATTTTTTGCCGTTTTGGAGTGGCAAGAAAATGCACGTCTTGTATTTTTATTTTTTTCGTGACAGTTGATAAATAATTTTGTTCTCGTACGGAATGTCCTAGGCTCAATCTCGCTGTATGTTGCGTGATTCTCGCAGTTAAAAAGCGCTGATTTTTGTGTGACTCAAAAGGAAACAATGACAGTTGCGTTTGCTTTGAGAATTTTATGTTAAAAATTCTCTGCGAATTTTATCTCGATAAGCTCTTTGCACAAGTCCCCTGCAAACGCTGAACATGTGCTTAAAAAATTTAAAATTACGGAATAAAGGAGAAGAAAAGAATTCCACTTTTGCTCTGTTTCAGTGGCAAGGTACGTATCCAACCAAAGACTGAACAAAGCTCTGTCAAGGGGAGAGCATATGTAAAAAAACAGAAGAAGAAAGCTGTTAGAGGGTACGACTGGGGATTAATTTTATTTCCAGAAATAGCAATTCAAGCAGTTGAAAACATGCGGATTTTTAGGAAAATTTAACTCAAATATCGCAAATCAATTAAATCGAAAAGAACGATGTTCAGCACTTCGGAAACAGGAAGACTAATATGCGAAGGAGGAGCTGCCTGCAAGGAGGAGCTTCTTCTCAAAATTAAGCAATGGCCTAAAAATTCATAGATTAATCTACCAATAAACCAAAACTTGAAAGTACTTTTGCCAAATCTCAAACACTACATGTAGGATTTCTTTTGCTCCCAAGATGCGTCTTTGCGAAAGGATTTGGGCCAATGATGGATGAGAAAGGTGTCAGCTCATCTATTTTATTTCTTTTGGTGTAGCGTTTGCGGCATATTCAGCAGACAAATGAGCCCAGACTAAGGTCTGCGATTTTCATTCATTGTAATTTTCATTCTGTGAATACATGTTTGGTAGACGAATTGCCTTTTCCTAACGTTGTTGCCATACTTTATTTAGATAATCATTTTTGTCCGCAAAAAATTCTCATATCGTCGAACCTTTTGCTAGATTACCGTCAATCGCTTCAGGACCTAGTCTAGACCCGCGCTGCGATGCGTTACGCCGCCGTACTGGTGTCACTTTGCTCACTTATCACTATAGTCGGTTCAATACGATCAGCAAATCAATCAGCAGTAGATAGCCTAGAAGTCGATGTTCCGCCAAGCCAACTGGTCTCACAGGTCTCTTAGATAAGAACCACAAATTAAAAACTCAAAGAATAATTTTTTCTAGGCCCGACGTGAACGTAAAGAACGTCGACTGCTTCGTAAAAAGAAGCAGCGAATGAGGGAGCTTAGGGAAGAAATCCGAGCTTTGACTCTATCGCTTCATCAGACACGTACGAACTCCCACATTTAGTTTTTTTCTCGCATTTTTTTCTAATCTGAAAACATTTTTCAGCGGATACGCCACCACAAGGGAAGGGCGAACAGAAACATAAAAGAAAAGATCGTCGAGACCACAAGGGTGTAAAGTGGCGAAAGAATTTACTGGAAAAACTCAAAGTGATTGTTCATCGATTGGACAGAATGGAACGACGAATACTGGGAGTAAAACCGGTACGTATAATTGATTCCTAGATTTTTCTATAGATTATACCTCTAGATAACAAAAATTCGGTTGAGGAAGGGGATGCGTTAAAACGTCTTTCTCAAATAGATCTGGCTTAGTTGTGATAATTTCGAAGAATTCCTAACATTCTACATTGTTTTGAGATTACAATTCCATAATTGCTGCAAAGCAATTTTGGTTATTGGATGTTTGAGCAGCTCTCAAAAAATAAGAAAGGTGTCCTGATGTGGAAGAGAAACCGAGGTTTAACGTAAAAAAAGAATTGCCATGTAATAGAGGAAGGGGATGCGTTAAAACGTCTTTCTCAAATAGCTCTGGCTTAGTTGTGATAATTTTGAAGAATTCCTAACATTCTACATTGTTTTGAGATTACAACTGAAAGCTTGCTGAAAAATGCGTGGTTCATACATTTCTAAAAACCCTTTTTCTTTGCCAACTGATTTCTTTTCATCATTCTCTCTAACTCACGATAGATATCATTTTAATTTAGATGATAATATTTCTTGCACCACCCACGTATGATTCTTCAAAAGTGCACATCGGTGTTTGTAAGCAAATAATTCGGGAAACTGAAATTCAAAATTACTTTACTCTGCAGTCAACTTTTCGTCATTTCCAAATCAGAGATCTGTCAGAATTTGACATTTGAAATTTGCCGTCTTCGGGGCAGTTAGTGTCCCTTTCTTATCAGTATCTCTTTATTGCTCTATAGATGCTCTGTTGGGCTTGTTTTTGGAATGGTTTGGAATGATTGTTATAAGAAAATTGCACATAGTTACGTCGAATAGAATTGTTAGAAAGTGACTGAGGAATCTTGATGTGATTAGCAAGGGGCGCTTGTGAGAATCTTTATATTGGTCAGAGTCGTATTTTGTCAATCTAAAAAACTTTTGCAAAAGTAAGAAATGAAATTTTATCATCTTCAGTATCTGACGAACAAAGCGGAGAACTCCACTGCGTCGGTTACCATATCGACCACTGCAGCAAAAACGAGCCACAATAGCACACAAGATCTAAAGGTCTTTGTTTTCAAATTTTAGTAAATGACTGGGTGAGAACCATAAATATTAGATTAGACGTATCCAGCCAGCCATAACACGATCTCGTAGCGGTGAAAATGGTACCGTATGCACTGCTCACAAAGATTGCCGCCCAGGTGAGGGATGCCATTTTCTATAATTACTTGAGTTCTTAATCCATATTAATTAAGGTCATTGTTGTCACCATTTCATAACAAAAGAAAAAGACAACACAATTTGCGTTATGCATGCATTGACGGAAAATATACCATGCATTGATGGTTGTCAATGTTCAACACAACTTAGTTGTTTCCTACCAGATAGTAATTTGACGGTAAATCCATAACTCCCCCAAAATTCAGTTTTATAGAAGAAATTTTTTCAGGAAGCATTCTGCAAGAAAGCATCCTCAATTGACGTTTTGGAAGGCACGTACCTGTACAGGCAAGACTCCACCATAATTGACGTCTAAGATAGAAATCAGATGAAATCACGATCTCGTATTCTTGGCTACTTATTAATAAAGTAATTATAATAATGTGTGCGTTGTCTATTTAAAAAGGTACTCATATTGATCGTTAATATTTTACGTACTGAGTTTATATACCTAGAATGCATGAGAGCTCCATGACTGAAATAAGCATTAATAGGGAAGAACACCCTAAAATGGATCGTTAAGTATTTATTGCTCTTACAACCTCGTTCCAGAATTTGTTCACCCCCGTAGGGATGTGGGCCGATCCCTGCAGCAGTGCAACGCTGGGCCGACCCGTGATGAGGTGCGAGCAAGCCAGCAACCTCATCCGGTTCCAAAAATCAAATAACCTTAACGAGACTCATTCGAGACTCTATCGAAGGTTAATTCGATAAGAACAGAAACTAAACTTTGATCTTAGCCAAAAGGCCGAGAAGCGATACCTTACCGAGCTGACAGCGGTGCCACCTCAGCCAGTGAGTCGGACTCATCGCAGGTCAGCTAGCGCTCACTATCTCACAGCAGAGGGCGCAGGTATAGGTGAACACACCTGTGCCAACAGGTAAACGCTGTTCTACCAGCAAAAGTTCAGATCTGAAAGATTTCCTGCTTTAGAGTTCATAATAAGATGATCTGCCACACTTGCCTTAGAGAACTGGTGGTAAGAAAAATAGCTCAAACCTTTGCAAAGAGTGTGAAAAGTTTGTAATTTAAAGAGAGTTCACGATTCGAAGTCATTAAAGCGGAGTTACTTCAACATTCTGCTCAGGCCAGTATAAGCCTACAATCTGACAAGAGGTACCAAAGCCTAACTGGTCTCTTTTTTTCTACTCTTTTCAAAGGCTCTCGGGACGTCCTTTACTCAAGAAAATAGTCTTCTTAACAGTTCTTACAAATAAGATTTCACGGCATTTAAATATCGCCTTGGGGGCTTTACTATAACCTCTGAGGAACTTTTGAACGTAAAACTTCCGGATCTGAATTATTGCTGGTGAAACAGCATTTGCATGTTCGCACAGGTGTGTTCACCTGTACCTGCGCTCTCTGCTGTGAGATAGTGAGCGCTAGCTGACCTGCGATGAGTCCGACTCACTGGCTGAGGTGGCACCGCTGTCAGCTCGGTAAGGTATCGCTTCTCGGCCTTTTGGCTAAGATCAAAGTTTAGTTTCTGTTCTTATCGAATTAACCTTCGATAGAGTCTCGAATGAGTCTCGTTAAGGTTATTTGATTTTTGGGACCGGATGAGGTTGCGGGCTTGCTCGCACCTCATCACGGGTCGGCCCAGCGTTGCACTGCTGCAGGGATCGGCCCACACCCTCACGGGGGTGAACAAGCTCTGACCTTGAGGGGTGAGGAATAACAGTGCTCTCTTTGTTTCGTTTACTCTACAATGAATTATCTGTGTCAAATTCTGCAGACCTTGACGATTTTGAAGCAAGGATACACTTCTAGCTGCTATCCAGCTTGTCATAACGGGTCATGCCCATTGGTGCGATGGTATGAGCCTGGGATCAAACTCCTTTCAATGTTCGACCTAGGACCTATGTAACCGCTTCACCTGCGAACCTCCAAAGGATGTTATTCTTGAGATGGGGATGTGCGTGGAGAACAAGTTTATTGTCAACAAACTTCTTATCTTCATGGCTTCTTCGGTCATAACAATGGAATCGAGAAATTTCGGCGAGTACGTCTTTTTACTATATCTTCTTTGGACATGGATGATTCTGATCACCGATGAAGATCTCTTGCGTTACCAAGCTATCGTAATCTTCTCGTTTACGGTAGGTATGCGGTGAAACACGGCAGGTGTACGGTAGCTTTTCATGATGGTTCAACACGTGCCTACTCTAAATAGAAAGTTTAGGAAAGCACTAATCTGTTCTGTCAATTTTAAGTAGTTTCATATGTTTTTGTTCAAACAACCAGCACTACTTGTGCTCCGCCATGGCAAACTGAGTGCTGGTTTATTCTCTTCGCCTCCTTATCGCCCCTCGATCTTGGATATGCAGAATGATGAATTTCATTTTTATCCTGTTTTCAGGTGCGCCCTCTATTTCATTTGGTGTGAACCCGCGAGCCGCCTCGCTTGGGCTACAGGCCGCGGTGTGGCCCAAGCGTGTTTCAGGCTTTTCTCAAGCTCGTCAGCCTCAATTGGTGCTCAAGGATGCGGTGATTTCGCGCAGCTAAGACATGGCAAAATACCATAATCTTCGAAGGCGAACGCGGCGAGGGACCCAAGCGAGGCGTCAAGCGAGGACCTGAACCGCGCACCGTGACTCAGGTTGGAAACACCCTGCATGCTGCATTAATCAGCGGAATGACTATTATGGAGGCATTCAGCAAATTTTTTCTTCCCAAATTCTCCTGAACTTGTGTGCATATATAGGCTGCTGCACAACAAAGGCATAATATCTTTGGGCGCGAATGCGGCTTTATTAGCCGCAGAGCGCATGAGAGCGGAGTTCATAGCGGTGAAGATGCGCGCGCGCCTTCGCGTCCACTTAACTAATCCTGCTTCTGTGCCTTCGTCCTGCGTTAGCCTTTACACCTAGTCGCCCACTGTGGTCCGCCGTAAACGTGGTGTGATTAGCCGTAGTTTCAAAATTTAGTGTACAGCCGCTGTGAGGAGACGTTGTAGAATGCTGTCGTTAAAAGGCGGATTAAACTACATTTGGGCATGCATAACCTGTACAGAAATCTAGCAGAGAAGGTGGAAGAAGTGCCGAATCCATCGGCACAGAGCCGACCAGGGTAAATCAACCGCCGCCTTGCTTCAGGTGAGAATCGCACATCGGATCACTTTCGGCGTCGTGAACGAGAATCGGAATCTTTCGCGAAGAGCTATCTACCTCTTCCACTCATCAACATCAACACCCGTGCCGATGCCCATTTTTCCCACAGGAGAAGTATCACCACGAATTGTAGCTGCTGAAATACGCACATCCATAATCCATCGCACACCCTGAAGATGTTTACGACCCTGCGAACTTCTGCGAGCTGGAGGAGATGTTACACGAATTTTCGCGTCGCATTTATCTTACTTCCAGAAAGAAGGACTTCCTAAAGTAGAGACTTTTTCGAATACCGTCTCTTTTCAAGAACAGCGAACGTATGCTGTGCAGCTTCGCACGAAGATTATTCTCGCTCGCACTTCTAGTACATTGGATGAAGCCCTGCCATAAGAACAAGTTGGACGCACAAATTCAGCTGTATGGACCACTCCCAGACGGTTTCGAGAATCAAAGAGGTCTGCCGGGAAACCCTGCTCTTCGTCTTAAAAACGTCGACTACAAGAAAGTCTTCTCGCCGAAGCTGTTCACCGTGGGCTTACAGTGTGACGAAGTCACTGCCTGGGTTCCATTTTATCACAGCTCTCCTCAATGATCGGCATGATTTTGTTCATGCAGTACTAAAATCTCTTACAGAAATAACAGTTATTCCAAACAATCAATTTCGTTTTAATGTTACAATGGTTACGTGGCAATTTTCTAAAATTTAACCGATATTCGTTCACTTCAAGGAACTTCCAAGTATCCCGTCACAGTAAAGAAGTTGTGAAAACTTGCCAAGGTACATTCCTAAACTTTCTATCTAAAGTAAGCATTAGACCATCATAAAACGCTACCGTATACCTGCCGTGTTTCACCACATACCTACCGTAACCGGGAGGATTACGCTTGGTAACGCAAAAGATCTTAATCGGTGAAAGCAGTAGTAAAAAGTCAATTCCATTATAATTGTCGTCATGGATGGCGAGATTGGTCTCCTCTAGCGAAAGGAGCCCTGATATGGAGTTTGTTGGCAATGAACTTGTTCGCCTGGCAGATCCCCATCTCAAGAATAATACATCCTGTCGAGGTTTGCAGGTAAAGCGGGTATTAGGTCTCAGCTCCAACAGTGGGAGGAGTTTGATCCCAACCACCATCGCACCAATGAGCATGATTCAATTTTTATGGCAAACTAGCGGCTCAAATTGTGATCTTGTATGGCGTCAGAATCGCTAAGGTTTGCAGGATACAACACTGTTTTTTCATTGTAGAGCAAACTAAACAGGAGAGCACCACATTCCTTTCCCAGGAATGGTCTAGAGTTTGTTCACCCCCATGGGAGTGTGGGCCGATCCCTGCAGCAGTGCAACGCTGGGCCGACCCGTGATGAGGTGCGAGCAAGCCCGCAACCTCATCCGGTTCCAAAAATCAAATAACCTTAACGAGACTCATTCGAGACTCTATCGAAGGTTAATTCGATAAGAACAGAAACTAAACTTTGATCTTAGCCAAAAGGCCGAGAAGCGATACCCGACTGTACTGGCAGCGTTGCCATCTCAGCCAGCGAGTCGGACTCATCGCAGGTCAGCTAGCACTCACTATCTCACAGCAGAGAGCGCAGGGACGGGTGAGTACACCTGTGTCAGCAAGTAAACGCTGTTTTACCAGCACTAGTTTGGATCTGGACGATTTACTGCTTTAGAGTTTATAATAAGAAATCTTTGGGACACTAGCCCTAGAGAGGTACTGCTGGGAAGAAGAATAGCTCAAACCGTTGCAAAGAATGGGAGATGTTCGTAATTCAAAGATAGGAGGCCCAATTCGGAGTCGTTAAAGCGAGGTCACTTCAACATTCTGCTCAGGCCAGTATAAGCCTAGAAGTCTGACAAGAGGCACTAAAGCCTAACTGATCTCATTTTTTCTAGTCTTTTCGAAGGCTCTCGGGACGTTCTTTACTTTAGAAAATAGTCTTCTTAATAGTTCTTTCCAATACGATTTTACAGCAGTTAAATACCACCTTGGGGCTTCACTAAAGCTGTAAGAGACCTTCTCAGTGCAAATCTTCCAGACATAAACTATTGCTGGTAAAACAGCGTTTACCTGTTGGCACAGGTGTGCTCACCTGTCCCTGCGCTCTCTGCTGTGAGATAGTGAGCGCGAGCTGACCCGCGACGAGTCCGACTTACTGGATGAGGTCGCATGGTGTCGACTCAGTCCGGTATCGCTTCTCGGCCTTTTGGCTAAGATCAAAGTTTAGTTTCTGTTCTTATC